AAATAAAAACAAAATATATTAATAGATTTCTTAATACATGAATGAATATCGACTTAATTTAATTACAGAATTGACATTGAATTTCGCTGTAAATAACAATTATTATAAGTTTGTCTCGAATTCACTACTAATTCACACAATAAATATTGCTTTTAATGATAAACAATTAGAATTTAAAAGTATATATAAAAGTTTTGATATTATTTTCATTCATTGATTGCAGCGAAAGACTTGTTAAAAGAAAGTATCTGTAAAATGAAAGGAATCTTAATATCAGTGAATATATTAATTGCAATAATAGTGACATTATTTGGCAAATCTAGTGCCGAGTGTTTATGTAATGTCAGACTTCGGGGCGAATATTGCGGATCAGAATTGAATCGAAGGAATGGTAACAATGACTGCGAGAAAAGTATCTATTTTTGCGGTCGAAATAATCGCAACAAAACTGCAGTACTTTTGACCAAATGTGACGACGAGTCGGAATGCGATCAAAATCAGTCCCGATTAACATCAAGACTCAAAAGAAGTGAGACTTTATATTAATAATTGTTATTTAATTACTTTAAATATAATCTGAATGTGTGTTTGACTGAAGGGAACGCATGTCTGCGCAAACTTCAGTGTAATTGTGGTGAAGGCATGAGTCGGGGCCCCCATTGCGGCAATCAATTGGTTGGCGACGGCTGTCCCGCAAATATGCTCTTCATTTGTCGGTTTAATAGCAATGCTGTCAGCGCTCGGGAAGTGTGTGTCGATGGCTGTAATGATGGCAAATGTGTGAACAGCGCTGATAGTAGTGGAGCCGAAACACCCGATGACACCAATAACGAAGAAGAATCAGATAAAGAGCCATAAAATTAATAATTATTTGTGAAATACAAATCAATTCTTTTAGTATTTTCATAAATTATAAATTAAAACTTATTTTAAACTTTCAAAAATATCTCAATATATTTTTTATATCAAAAATATTATCCACCAAAAAATATACAGTAATTTTTAAAATAAACCAAGTTTATGTACCAAAACGTTTTAACTTAA